TCTGTTTTACAAAATAAGAACACCTCTATTATTCACTTATATGTTCTAGAAGAATTACCAACTTGAATTTACATAAAGAATCAGATCTACACTTTGCCAGGCACCTTAATAACCAAAATTTTAAGGACTCTTCTTTGTCTGAGACGTCTGTGTTCATCTATATGAGTCGTGATTCTCTTCCTATAAAAGTATGTACTCTAAGTACTAAGAGAAAGGAAATAAGTTTGCCTTGGCTTTCTAACATGTAACAGCCATAAATGCAAGGACCCTGACAAATACTAGACATTGTTCTTCTTCAACTGGGACAAAGGATATTTCTACTTGGAAGCTCTGACCACTAATAAATATAATCATTGGTGAACTTGAACATGTCACCATGGATAAACTTCTATCAATAATTCTGAGTGCTCCATCCTGCTTCTTATTTGCTCTAATCTTTCCTGCTTTTACCCAGAGTCTCCAAGGACAAGGAAGGAATAGTCCTTTCATAGTTCCACGTTATAATTCTCACAAAGTCTTTCTGCTATAGACACAGCAATTATGCATTTTTACAAATGGGAGGAAATCAGCCTATTTATAAGGTTTTAGTTCAGCCTAAAATCAAAGTTTCAATTAGGAGAACATAAAACTTGACTGTGACAAGTGTCTGAATTTTAAAACTGTATGTTTATAAATAAAAATGTAATCTACGATAGGCATTTCATTTAAAAAGGACCTGGTCACTTTTTAGATTTAGGTTTTAGAGATTAAGGGACCATAAACAAACTGGGTCATTGTCTTGTATAAAATGGTTAGCTTTTAAAGTGAAAAAAAAAAAAAAAAAAGGGTACTCAACTGGGTAATTGTATGCCCATGTTCATAGCAGCATTATTTGCAATAGCCAAGAGGTTGAAGTCACCCAAATGTCCACAGACACATGAATGGATAAACAAAATGTGGTAGATACATATAATGAAATATTACTCAGCCTTTTAAAAGGGAAGGATATTCTAACACATGCTACCACATGGGTGAACCTTGAAGATAATATGCTATACCAAATAAGACTATCACAAAAGGACAAATACCTTATGATTTCACTTATATGAGGTATGTAAAAGAGTCATGTTCAGAGACAGCAAGTAGAATGATGGTTGCCAGGGGGTGGGGGGGGCAGCAATGGGGAGTTAGTGTTTAGTGGGTACAGAGTTTCAGTTGGGAAAGATGAACATGTTTTGGATGTGAATGGTGGTGACGGTTGCACGTCAATGTACAAAACTGCACACTTAAAATTGGTTAAAATGGTAAATTTCATGTTATGTATATTCCACAATAAACAAGGATATATCTGAGTAATATTCTGAAAAAAAACAGTCTACCTAATCACAGATGAAGACAGTGAAAAACCAGATATTCTAATTTTTTTAAAAAGACCTCTCTACCTGGTGAGTCTTGAATTTCACAGTTTACTTTTTTGTTTTCATTTGATTCCATTTGTAAATTTTGTGACTTATGGGTTTTTAAGATTGAAGAACTAACTCCAAGAATCCCCAACTGTCACATTTAAAAAAATTTTGTTCTTCTCAAAGTCTAGTCCCTTATATACGTGTGCCAGAGAATACAATTTCTTATCATACCAAAGTATATTTTTGTAATAAACACTGTCCCTTTCTTCAGTATTAATCCAAGTCAGTTTTCTTCTGACTAGTCTATACAACCCTGTATTATATACTTTTTATAATCCCATCTGTGGATTTTCTGGAATTTAAAATAATGTTCCAAAATTTCAACTGTGACGAATTATCGATCCATGATTTATACAATTTGTAGTAACTCTCTTTCAAGTTCATTATTTTCATGACAAAGCTGCAAAACATAATTTCTCAGAAAAATTGATTTTGTCTTATCTTAAATGTCTTAGTTAAGAGCTTGGACTTTGCAGTCAGATGCCCTAGGTTTGAATCTTGGTTCTACCGCTTACTAGATGTGTGAGGGGATAAATTATTTAAATTCTGTAAACCTTGGTTTCCTCATTTTTAAAATGTGGTATTGATACCTAAGAGCTTTGAGTAGCATGCATATAAAGCTCCTCTGCAGTATCAATATGTAGCAAGATTTAATAAAGGGCAGCTATTAATAATAATACCATCAACAGCAGTTTTGTAGAAATGGTAAGTGCCCCCCTATTGGACTGAAAGGCATTATGTTGCAACTTTTCTAAAGTTGACCCCACAGTTTTAACTCTAAGACGAATCTAGAAAAAAGAGCAATTGTATATTGTAAGATGTGTTTTCTTTTGTTCATCACTTCCAAATAACTTCATTCTTATTGTCATGTAAGCAAAAGGAATCAAGCCAAACAGAAATGAAAAGACTGGGTATGTAGATGTGTATACACACACACACACACACACACACACACACACGTATCTAGTGTGTTATACACTATTTCAGGAAGTTGTATAAAAACATGAGAAAAAAAGGTGAAAAATAAACAGGAAGAGCTATAGACTACAATGAGGGTAACCACGTATACAAAGGTAGGCAAATTTCTAAGCTGAGCTATTTGATTCATTCAGAATCACATTATTGTCAGAAAAACACACTATAATTCCTCTGGTAATACCCCTAGGAGACAGATCTCCAAGTGTGGAAAAGTTGAATATTTTCATCCCTTCTTATCAGTGTAAGCAAAAAAGAATTTCATATTTTCTTTAAACAAAACCCAACTGCTCCTACAGTCACTACCACTAAGGATTTCTAAAGTATATAACATTTGATACTGGGATTTCTGCCACAATTTCATTAGAAAGTACAAAGGATTTCTGCACTAACCACTTATACTCCCCAACTATAAAGAAAAATGAAAATTTTATGGCAGACTTATATTTCTGAAAATGTGTTCCTTGGGATACTAATGGCCTAAGACAATGAATGGGGTGGTAGGATAAAGGTTCTGGGGCGCCTGGGTGGCTCAGTCAGTTAAGCGGCTGCCTTCGGCTCAGGTCATGATCCCAGGCTCCTGGGATCTGGGATCCAGCCCCACATCAGGCTCTCTGCCCAGCGGGGAACCTGCTTCTCCCTCTCCCTCTCTCTCTGCCTGACGCGCCCCATGCTTGTGCTCTCTCTTTCTGTCAAATAAATAAATAAATAATCTTTAAAAAGAAAGGGTTCTGTGGTCAAAAGAGTTGAAGTTTGGGAAACGCTGCATTCTAGATCTCACTCTTAGAGATTCACAACACTATTAACATAACAGGTTCTGAGAAGTCCTGCAGTGAGCACAGCTGTTTAAATTTGCTTAACCAGTGTTCCCCAAATTTATTTGGCCATAGAATCCTTTTTTTCCAAGCAATAACCAAGGAACCAGGTTCCTCATAACAACTTATTTTAGGAAATGTGTCATAAATTGCCTTTGATTAGCTATTAAAAGAGTAATTTCATATGTACCTGTCCCAAAAAGGTAGTCACTGGCAGAATTTGCTAAAGTCCCAAAATGAGTCCATGGTATTTCATGTCAGGAAAAAAAATCTAACTTGCTTAGACTAGCCTTTACACTATCTTTAGGAAGTTCAAGTCATTTCCAGAATATGTGTTTTGACCCCTTTACTGCTTGTATGTTCTTAATCAAATCCAAACACTCAATTCTAATGCCTGTGCAAATATAAAAAATGAAGGTGACCCTCCAAGCCTTTGCTTTTCTTTCCAGGCTTCACTGTAAGCTAAGAAAACCCTGTAGCTGTGAGCTGCACCTTCAAATATAAGAATACTAAACTCAGTTACCAGCATTTTATTAACTGGTACCACGAGCCGCATTTATGCAATCTTAAAATAAAATAATGAGTATTTGCAATGTTTTTTTTTTTTTAAAGATTTTATTTATTTGAGAGAGAGAGAATGAGAGAGAGCACACGAGAGGGGGGAGGGTCAGAGGGAGAAGCAGACTCCCTGCGGAGCAAGGAGTCCGATGCGGGACTCGATCCAGGGACTCCAGGATCATGACCTGAGCCGAAGGCAGTCGCTTAACCAACTGAGCCACCCAGGCGCCTGAGTATTTGCAATGTTAATCCGGAAGCAAAGTAGTGACTGAATATTATTTCATTCCCTTAACACCTCCCTAACATCCCTATTAAGTATATAGAACAAAATCCTGTAATTACTACTTTATCTATTGGAGGTTAAGCAACGTGCCCCAATTACCAATAGTCAGCAGGGACCAATTTCTTGTTGGACTGATACTTGTGCATATTACAACTATAGAAACTATCAGATAATCACCCTGAAATATGAACAAAAACAGGAAATTCCTTTACTAATAACTTATTATTTAAGGAATTTTCTTCTTTTGAAATAATTTTGGAACATAATTTGCTAGAAATCTAAACTTGAACCAAAAACAAAAAATCAGATGGCATGCTCGATAGCTTTTTGTGAGTTCGGAAATTAAAAACAAAGTCTTAACAACTGCAATGAGGCATTCATTACTTTGTCCTTGTGTTAGAGGAAACAAAATAAGTAAGCTACAGTTAATTCTGGGTAAAGTGTGAATGTGAATGATTACACTGCCAGGCTGTGGCATCCCTTTCTTCCGAGGTTCTCCCCTTTACTGCAAAAGTACATAAAAGTGTAGCAACACGTGTAAGATGACATAGACATCAACAATTCTTAAAAAGCCTAACAGAGAAGACACAGTGTTATTAGGGAAATAATACATTTTGGGAAGCCATTGACATTTGGGCACTGATTTCCAAGTTACACAAAATAAGCTGGCCTTTGAAGGAAGACACTTTAAAACATCTATGGCAGAATACATATAACCACAATATTTTATATTATGATAATATGCAGCAATAACATTTTACCAGACATAAGGCAAATGGCTGAAGAGAAGGAAAAATCTGATGTGAAAGGAATCAAGAATGTTAACAATTTAGTAAAGGCAAAGGAGTTAAAGTAGCAGATTCAAGTTTCATAAGTTGTTTTTTTTTTAATGTAGAAGCAGAGGTAACAAAAATTGGTCTTCACCTGGTAAGTGTGTACTCCCTGAGTCCTGAATGCAAGTTCATGGCAGAAAAAGTACCTATGCATCCACGCAATCTTTTGTCTCGACCGATCTTCCACGTTACAAACAGTGGGCTGTAACGGAAGATAAAAATAGGGTCAATCAATTCAACTCAAGCAAGTTATTTATTGAATATTTATTATATGCAGGGTTAGATGCCTGAGATATAAAGACCACATGACAGGCCCCCAAGGGGCTGGGTCTAGCCGAACGGACTGCATTTAACAACAATTATAGCTGGAATGATTGAGTGTATCCTGTATGTGAGGCAGCATGATAAATGTTTTTAAATTACCTATATTAATCCTCATCAACCATTCTAAGAGGCTGAGTAATGCTATTACCAACATTCCTATTTTACAGATGAGGTAGTCCCACAGTTAATACATAATGAAATCGGAACATCAACCTGGACAAAGCCTTAACCAGCATGGCTGACTGCTCGAGTCCTCATTTAAACCTCAAGTTACTGATTGATTCATTAAGTCTACTTTAGAAAAACCAAACAACAACAACAAAAAAAAAACCAACCCCAAATTTCAACAAATACTGAATATCTCAGGGCAAAGTATTGTGAAAGGTTATGGGAAATACAAGGTTGCCTAAAACATCGTCACAGCTCTCTAGGAGCCAGTACAGAAGGCAGGCATTTTCACAACTAACTCACACAGGCAAAAGAAAATGAGTGCTATAAACTATGTCCGAAATGCCATGAATGAAGCTACAGGGATAGAAGAAAATTTCATCGAGGCTGATTCTCTTCAGCTTGGCCTAGAAAACTGAGTAGGGTTTAGAGAGGTAAAGGGCAAGAGCAAACATTAACAAAATAAGACTCTGAAAACAGAAAAATTATTTTAATTTTTAGATAAAAGTATGGCCAACAAATACAATCTCTCAAGCATTAAATACGATGGCATCAAGAAAGTTGTGTAGTTTTAAATGAAGTTTAATATAGTAGATTTTTGGATCTGGCAGGAAACCAGTGACAGCCCCAATTAATGGCTGAATCTAGAAACAATTCTAGTTAGAAGCAACTTTATATGTAAGTTTATATGAAATAAATTAATTTACACATTTTAGCACATTGTGTAAAAAAGATAAATACCCTACAGTTGGGGGTGGTTCATGTTAATGTGAGTATTCACAGTATTATGGGTATGAAATAGTATATTTCTGCTTTCTAAAAATTTAAATTTTAGGGGGACATACCATATGTCATGTATTTCTAATAATATGTTGTTGAGTTGGAGAACACATTCTGCATTTAAAGTACTCTCTAGTCAGTCATTAGCAGTTGGGTGAAAAGATCCTGTTCAAGTACTTCAATCACCCATCTCAAACATTTAAATAATGCCGAGTTCTGACAGGCAGCCACAATGGCAGACAGGTCCCGAAATAACGTATACAAACCAGGAGCAGTGCTAAGAATTACCTTCTTCCAAGAACCAAATTCTCAGGGGCATTGAAAAAAATGACCATAAGGCCAAATGATTGTCGATGTTAGTATTCAAGTGTTGGATGACCTACATCAAAAGTACGAAGATAAAAAGCAAAAGAAAAATTCCAGGTTTTCTGCTTTCAATGTCACATGCACCTAAACACCTTATAACTTGAGACAAGATACTGATGCTCCACTTAGAGCATTTCTCTAATAGCTTTTGACTAAGAATTATCAGGAAGACAAGAATTAGACACATAACTCATACGAATACTACTATCTAAAATCCTCACACTATCTTTATTTTTTTAAGAGTTTTTTTATTCATTTGACAGAGAAAGCGCGCACACAAGCAGGGGCAATGGCAGGCAGGGGGAGAAGCAGTTTTCCAGCTGAGCAGGGAGCCCGACGCGGCACTCGATCCCAGGACCCTGAGATCATGGCCTGAGTAGAAGGCAGACGTTTAACAGACTAAGCCACCCGCACTCTACACACTATATTTAACGATGAATTTCACCTCTTTATTTTTCACTTTGTAATTTGGTAGAGTCAACGTCAGCAACCATTATGTGGACAGGAAGATACCAATCTTCTCCCATAACGACACCTATACAAATCATGTCTCCATAACACGTCCCTTGGCAGATTCAGAACAAAGTGAATCACACTGTAACATATATACTAACATGTCTTTAAAATACCACATGATGGCTTCTCCATGTAACAGAACGAAGTTGTGTATTCTCTTCCTCAATGACTTGAGTGAGAAACCTACAAGTGTGAGTGAATTTGTTTCCCATCAAAAACCCTAGAGATGAAAGTCATTTAAAAGTGCTTTGCCTTCAATTATCTTCTTTATCCCACTAAAATATATATGCACATCATTCTTACCATAATCCTATCTATTCAACCAAACATTCAAAACGTGTAGGGTAAACAGAAAATGAATACAAATTAACCACTATATTAGGGAATATGTTGGAGGGCATTCTAAACACATAGTAGGGAAAATTATATACAGTTTCTTATAATGCTATGCTATCACTGATGAAGGGATGATGAATTCAAGGGGTAGGGTGCTAGAGGATAAACTGCAATTTGCCAGGTAGCCTGGGAGAAAAGGTACTCCATAATAAGCAAGGGCTTAGAGATGTAACAGAAAGTAGTGTGATAACCTTGATAACTTGCTGTGGTCTCTTGCAGATTTAACATTCTATGAATTTTAGGCACTGTTGAATATTTGTCCTCAAGAGCCCTCAAAACAGGTAAAGCAGATGCAGAGTTGTCTGCACTCTCCCTGTTCCTTACCTGCCCCAGGCAACACCCACTTTGGGGGTTGGTGTGGCGGGGAAATATCTGTGGCAAAGATGGGAGAGATTGCTACTTGACAACCCCACTGTGTTTAGGACAGATGCCTGAAGATGGAAGAAATCAGACATTTAGGAGACAGAATACAACTCTGCCTTCACAATCTGGGGCTCTAATTTCTCATTTACAAATGCTCATCCAGTGTACTTTACAAAGAACACGTATGTGTTCAAACAAAACACAGACTCATAGATACAGAGAACAAACGATGGTTGCTAGAGGGGAGGGGGGTGAAGGGGGGTGAACCAAGTCGCTGAAGGGGATTAGGAGGTACAAGGCTATGCTATGTACAGTGCAGGGAATGTGGTCAATAATATTGTAACAACTTTGTATGATGACAGATGGTAACTAGACTTAATTGTCATAATGTATATAAATACTGAATTACTATGTTGTATACCTGAAACTAATACAATATTTTTATATGTTGGTTATTTTTCAACAAAATAATTTAAAATTGGGGCACCTGGGTGGCTCAGTCGTTAAGCATCTGACTTCGGCTCAGGTCATGATCCCAGGGTCCTGGGATCGAGCCCTGCATGGGGCTCCCTGCTCCGCGGGAAGCCTGCTTCTGCCTCTCCCACTCCCCCTGCTTGTGTTCCCTCTCTCGCTGTGTCTCTCTGTCAAATAAATAAATAAAATCTCTAAAAAAAATAATTTAAAATTTTTTAAAAGAACATGTATATGGAATTTTAAAAAACAAAATACCTACAAGCAACATTTCATGGGGGAAAGAATTTGGGAATGAAGCATTTTAAAGTACACTAAAACAGAATAAACATCACTGAGCACAAGAGATTGTATCTTGTGTGTGATAACTACTTTGTACAGGGCAATGACTATGGGAACATTCAATACGTATTACCTAAAAATAGCAACAAAAATTTTTCTTTCCCCAATGCACAGAGGGAAGAAATAGGCAATTTTATTCTTAAACGTATTATTAAAACATGTATGAGTTCCCGAAAGGATGTATGACATCAACGTAATCAGAGATCGATCAAAGTAGAAAAAGGGATTCGAGCCTGTTGAGAGGAGCTGCTTAGTGACAAGGAACTAAGGAAAACAGTTCATAGTAAGACAAAGATTGAAGGTTTTTGGAAAATACTTTTACCATATGGTTTGAAGCCACCTACATATGCTGAAAAAAAATACTACAAGCTAGAAAGGGGCTCAAAATGAAATGAAATATTAATGGAAATGTTATTTGAGAGTAACCAGGCATAGCTTTTTAAGGAATTTTCCTACTTGTGAACATTTTGTACCACTATGTTCTGAGAAACCTTTGGAGGCAAGTAAACTCTCTCCATTTTTCCAAGTCTGTAGACAGGAACAGGAAGTAACCACCTAATCTAGGTGAATCTTCTCTGCCAACTGGCAGCCAATACCATCAGGTCAATAGTACTAGCTCTCAGGGAAAGGTAGTTGTGTGGGATTAGCAAAAGTACAGAAAAGCAATGTAAATCTGAACAGGATATACCCCAGTCCAAGTTGCAGTGCCACTTCCTATGTCCCTCTTTTGAGATTATTGATACAGACCAGAACAGATTAGACATATATTTGTGGGAGAGGCGTACAATATTTTACCATAAACCCTATCTCCCCTCCATACCGTGGCAGAAACAGGTTAAAAAAAAATAGCCTTAGACATTTGCAAGCCCCCACTCTGGCAATTTGCTCTTCTCTAGAATGAGATCTGTAGGGGGTGACATTAACAAGATGATATCCATCCCTACCAATATAATGCTAATTACTATAAATGGGTGTTCAACAAGGCTATTAATATTATACATAGATATGGGAAAAGAGAAGCTACCTAGCATGGTTCTTTTCCTTTGCCATCAAATCATGATTGCTTCTCAACTATGCTCAGGTCCTTCTGTTACTTAGCTCAGTGATCCAACTAAATTACTCATAACATCCAACTCAATACCATAATTCCCCAGGATCTAGGAGCTCAGGGAAAAACAGAAATGGTGGAGTCTTCCTTCCACTGCCAGGTTAAAACACTTTGCTTCCTGTTTCAACACAAAGAAGTTACCTACCTCATTTACAGATCACATAAACTACAGATTCAATTTGTAAAAAATGTACTCAATGCAGTTAAATCCTGTATTAGTCTACTTGGGCTGCCATAACAAAATACCACAGTCCAGGTGGCTTAAACAACAGAAATGTATTTTCTCACGGTTCTGGAGACTGGAAAGCACAAGATCAAGGGTCCAGCAGGGTTCTGTTTCTGGTGAGAGCTCTTTCTGGCTTGTAGGT